TTTGAATGGTTGATGTTGAGCTTGAATCTGCACAATTTTGATTATGAATAATTTTCTCATTTTTAATACACTTTTTAAGGTATTAGTCATTTTAATAAATACAAATATTGTATTTAATACATTTAAAAATTATACAAATATACAATGTATTTAATAATAAAACTTTTATAGTGAAGTCAGCAAAAAGTGTGTGTATATATGTATGTATGTACTAGGGGAAAAAAATCAAACACACACGGTTCGGCACGCGCTAGGACCGCGGTTCTCAAATGACAACGCATCTGTAATATGGCTTGCTACGCGCAGTGAGAAGATTTGTGCGTGCGTGTCAACCCGCCTCAGAACTCGCGCAAATATTAATCTTTCTCTGAAGTATTGTGTTTAAATGGACAAATTCACACAAAAATTATGTCAAAATGCCTGTCTTGGTAAGTATCCTATAGCAGACATAGCCGGCTGAACGTACTGTATCAATGCACTGGATCAGTGCATTCTCTTAAAGTGATAGCACTTTCTTAATATTAATCAAACAGCAACAACAAAGAAATCACTCACTGCTCTTGATTGAATAGCTTTTGTAACTTTAATAAAGATTAATCTTTAATTTATACAGTCAAATATGCAATGCTGTTTTACATTTCATTACTTTATTCAATTTCTGTACCTAAAAACTAATGTTAGACCTACCTAAAAAAAACTGAAAATCACTGTTTATTTTATTTGTATACTCGATTGTATTTATTTGTGCTGTTGCTTGTAGTTAGATAGATTATTCTTATTTTCTTTATTTTTATTTGACAGTATAGTTTTTGCCTAAACATAGCACATACCGAACCATACTGAAACTGTGACTCTTAAAGTTGAACCGTTCCACCCCTAGAATGTACACATACACATGCGTATATATATATATATATATATATATATATATATATATACACACACTTCTGAAATATATTGTTTATATATATTACTGTATTTATTAAAATATTCTGATTATTATCGTTAGTTCACTAGAGAAATCAAGTCTTGAGAAGAGCATTTCGCGAAATATTACACTATATATTCATTATATTTTTCTTTACCTATTAGTCTTAATTATTTAATGTATGTTTAAATTAATCTGTTATGAAACATGTTATGACGGCCACTGTGTAATTGAATATATTTTAACAAATATAAATTTTATAATTTATAAGTTAATTTAAAAACTGCATTTTGTGCAATTTACATGTTTGCATACATTTTTTTTTTAAGGTGAGTGTTGATTATTATATTTTAAAATAAATAGTAATTAAATTTAAGTTTGAGTTAAGTTGTTAATTGTAACCTTATAATATAGGGCTCCCTATAGTTTAAAGCATAAGCTGAGGTAGATTTTTATGACTAAGAAAAGTTTAATTATAACAATGTATTTAAAGAAAGAGCAACTTGTTCAGTAAACCACTGTTTATTAAAAAAAAAAAAGCAATTGTATGCTTTCTCCCCCTGCTGTACCAAAAATTTATGAAACTGTGACTTCAAAACTGAGGTACAATTACACTACTAATGTTTTAAAATCTCATCTCGTTCTTGTGAACCCAGTCTCGTGTCTCGTCTCGTCTCGTGGGATAAATGTCTCGTCACACCCCTAATTATTATTAATCAATCAAATCTATCAAAACTATGAAATGTAAACATCTAGTTTTAATTAATCATCATCAAGCTGCAGCTCTGTTGAGGGCAGATTGTTCATTAATGAGGTGCAGCAACTAAAATACTAATTTACATTTTAGGTGGGGAATTTTGAGAGACAAGTGAATTTTCTCAAACACATCTGCACTCACTGTAAGCGTGCTGTAGGCGGTTCTGGATGAGCAGAGCCTCACGTACTGTGTGTTTCCTGCAGTGTAAGATACTGGAGCAGCGCATGGAGCAGGGGATGGTGTTCACCGAGTATGAGCAGGTGCCTAAGAAGCGGCCCAACTGTGAGTGCACCATCGCTCTGATGCCCGAGAACAGCGACAGGAACCGCTTCCGGGACGTCCTGCCCTACGACGACACGCGTGTGGAGCTGGTGCCCACCAAAGAGAACAACACGGGCTACATCAACGCCTCGCACATCAGGGTGAGCTGTAGATGTGTTACGATATGACCATGTATGGACACTTTGCATTGATGCTTCAGATCATTGAATTAATATTTAGGATTAAGGCTCAAAGTAAAAGGTCTTTAAAGGTCTTAAATTTGATTTTAATAATCCTGTAGATACCAGGTTATTTTATGGTACCATTTAGAATAACTAAATTGGGTAAGACGGTGTAAAAGGTGTGTGGACGTGGATTCGTAATCTGGCCCCTTGGTATAAACGAGAAAAAATGCTGGCCCTCGTCACTATCAAAGTTGCCCATCCCTGAACTAGAGTATAAAAACTAATATAATATAATAAATTATTTAATTTATTTGGAAGAAATACAATGAGATAATAATCTATTGTTATTAATAATAATATTATTAAAACACGTTGAACTAGAATATATAAAACTAAAGTAAAATAATGATACTAATATAATATAATAATATAATATAAATATATAAAATAATAAATTATTTAATTTATTTGGGAGAAGAAAAACACAATTATAAGTTAAACATATTATTATTATAATTATGCATGATCATGCAGCGACATGTGTCTTAGGATCCTAAAGAAGCATGCAAAATTTTATGGATATCAGGCATATAATAGTCATAGAAGTAAATGTATATATTTCTATTCTAAATTACCTGAAAATTATGTTTCTTTTTATTTCTGATTTAGGTTCGTTTAGGCTTGCTAAATTGCACAATTTATCTTTGTATGCATGAACTTAAAGGTCTTAAAGTGCTTGAACACCAAAAATTGCTGATTGCAGCTATATTTGTGCTGTTTTCAATCAGATTAATCATCTTTTATATTGTGTTTTCTGTGTTTCTCTGTTGATCAGGTTACGGTCAGAGGTAAAGAGTGGAGTTATATCGCGTCTCAGGGTCCGCTCTCCAGCACCTGCCAAGACTTCTGGCAGATGGTTTGGGAACAAGGAGTCGCTATCATCGCAATGGTTACAGCGGAGGAGGTGAAAGTCAAAACATCTGAGATCTGGTTATATACAGTGGCTATCTTCTATCTGATGTATAAGCCTTTGCATCATTGAACCGGCTTGTTTTGTGTCCCGTCCTGCAGGAAGGGGGTCGTGAGAAGAGTTTCCGCTATTGGCCTCGTCTGGGCTCTCGCCACAACACTGTTACATACGGGCGATTTAAGATCACCACGCGCTTCCGCACGGACTCTGGGTGCTACGCCACAACGGGCCTGAAGATCAAACACCTCCTCACGGGACAGGAGCGAACCGTCTGGCACCTGCAGTACACGGACTGGCCCGACCACGGCTGCCCGGAGGACTTTAAAGGCTTTCTCTGTAAGTACAACACAGATACAGGCCTTTCTTTATGCCAAACCATACTGCTTATGGCACTCCAGACATTACAGATGGCGTTAGGATCTGCATGTGAAAAAAATAAAGACATTAGTGTCTGGACAAACTGTACTGGTTTTGTAAACCAGAAAGAAAAGTGAAAGTGTTCTCTTAAAAGTAAAAAGTATTCTCTTATTCTCTTTTTAACATGTTACTGTAAGAAATGCTGCTGTGGGTGATTTTGCATTAATATATGCAATTATATTTAGTATATTATAAATATTTTTCCTAATGCAAAATTATTATATAAAAGAACAATTCATCCTAAGACATATATAATTATTTAAACATGCTGTATGTGATTACAGCTATATATCTGTGTGTATACACAATAAATGCATAATACATAGCATTTTTAAATATGCAGTTTGTAGTTACAGCTCTTTCTTGACACAATGCCTACAAGTCATGTAAAAATCTTATTGCGTTATTTTAATTTTGTACATATCATAGTTTTATAATTATGAATATAATAATTTTAAACATGTAAATATGTATATAAATAATAATATCAAAATGTTTTTTTTCTTGTCCTTCTGATTTTGGGGTAAAGCATGAAACAGTATTTTGATGATGTTCGTATCATGCATGACTTTAAGCTTCGAGAAGAGTATTCTTGCGGCATGTCCCTTAGCTGGCCTCTTTCTGTTGTGCAGCTTTGTGTTTTCGCCTGGCGTGGCTCTTTAAAGCGCTCTATTTCTGTGTCTCAGCGTACTTGGAGGAGATCCAGTCTGTGAGGCGACACACCAACAGCACCAGCGATCCAAAGAACACAAACCTGCCGGTCTTGGTGCACTGCAGCGCAGGGGTGGGACGCACTGGTGTGGTCATCCTGTCTGAGATCATGATAGCTTGTCTGGAACATAATGAGGTACATGTGTCCTGTGCTTACAGTGGTACGAACGCATGAGAGATTTAGTGCATGCCACCAGCTTTTTTCAGGGCGGAATGGTGACAGTTACCAGGGTAAACAACGTACACTTCTCACCACTGGCAGAAAGAAATGTTACACTTCTGCTAAGCGTACAAACACATGGTTGCTAGGAATAGAGGTGATGACGTTCTCTGCAGATGTCAGCATGTGGACAGGTTTGTATTGCACTTAGACCTGGTATACACTGTCAATGTGACGAAATCACAGCCGAGAGGCACGGAAGTGCAGACAGTGGTACTGTTATGTAACTCGAGGACAATTGTTCAGCTATTAAAACACTGAAAATGCCGTTACACGATTTTCCAAACATCGATTGCAAGAACTTGATGTAACCTAGGAATCTTAAGACAGACACATTGAACAGACTGTACTTTAATGCAATGCTTAAATCAAAATTAAGTATGGTGCATAGGGTTGGGCCGTAATTGTCACAGTATGAGAATTGTAATGTCATGATGACAGTATATGTTACAAATTAATTACTTTCACTGGAAATACAATTGAAAAATGTTTTATTTAAAAATAACTGTTTTAATGTCTATTTTTAGTAAACCATTGAATGAACTGAAAATCACATCAAATAAAACTAAAATGTAAAAATGATTTACTATTAAGTATTAAAATATTAAAATGATTTAATTTATCAAATTAATGTATAATTATTATTATTTAACAATTAAAATAAAACTTAATTTTAAACTTGATGGACAAAGCAAAAAATCAAATGATGTGTGTCATTGAATGACTAAATATCTGATATCAGGACCAAAAAAAAAAAATCATATTATAAAGAAACACTTGAGCTCAAACCTAAAGATTTAATTATTGATATTTATATATTTTCTATTATTTTTGTGTACCATTTTATATAGTTTGTATCAAATTAATGAATCAGTGTGATATGTGTGAAAACAGCTTCATATGAAATATGAAACACTTGATTTCAAACTTAAAGACTCAAAATTAAAGTAATTTTTAAGTAAAATATTTCTAACAAATAAATGAATCAGTCTGATATCAGTGCGAAAACAGCTTCGTATTATTAAAGACTTGAGTTCAAACTTAAAAACTCACAATTATATATCTAATTATGTTTTGATTATTATACTATACTGTTTTGTAATTAAATATAATTAATAAATAATTCATATTTATATATTTCTATTAATTATTATATTAATTGTTTTACTTATTAACCTTTTTAGATTCAATTCTTGAAATCATTTTATGTGAAGCACTTTGAGTTATCATTGTATTTGAATTTTGCTTTATAAATAAACTTGCGTTGCATTGCTCATTTATTTAATATTATAAAACACATAATTCAGACTCTAAATTCGGATTGGCCGTATTCAAAACTGCTGTGAAATACTCATGTTTCAATGCTGACGTGTCTATGTTTCCTGACAGATGCTGGACGTCCCGACTGTTCTGAACTTGCTGCGGCAGCAACGCATGATGATGGTACAGATGCTTTCACAGTACACCTTCATTTACAAAGTCCTCATTCAGTTCCTGAGAAACTCCAGACTGATCTGAGACCAGCGCTGGCACAGGGGTCCCACGAGCCTCTCACAACCCCTCAGTCCCCGCCGGAGCGGCGACAGCGCGGCTTCGCTTCCTCACAGTGTTAGTGACGGGGCAAGTATGAAGGACGTTGCGCCGCACTCTGTTTTACCAGTATTATTCACAGATTTCACTGTGGGCTTGTTACACGGATGTCAGTCCCAGCACTTTTATTTTGCTGTACATAGACGCGAATGACGCAGCTCTCTTATTTAATACAATACGCTGAACTGCAGTGGTTCTTTTATACCGGGTGGGATTTTATTAGTTTACGCATGAAGGTTTAATGAGCCAAAATGAAAATAGCGGACAGTGTTTTAAAGACGTGTGACAAGGTGAACTTCAATAATAGATGAATCTCACGAAAAGCCCAAATTTGGTGTCACAATGTGCTTGCAGTTTTGCTGAAATGCAAAAAAGGCTTGCTTTTCAGTATGCAAAATATCTAAATGCTCATTTCTTGTCATGAGATTCACCCATTTGCATCATGGGACGTCCAGTGTTACACGGCATGTTAAAGTGAAGCTGTTGCTTGAGATTTTACCATTTAACCCCACGAACGGGTTTCACCGATCAAACGCGTCTCAAGTTTGAATGCAGCCAAACACAGAAGGGTTTATTTTCTGATCGCAGACGCAACCTATAAATAATTTACAGTATATATTAAAATTGCATATGAAAACTGTATTCTACATATAATAATCATTAAGGCTTTCTCGTTGCGTTAGGGATGATTTTGCATTTTTCCAGCTCTTGCCACATTTCCACCAGCATTCAATAACCTGACACACCAAAGAGCGTCACAAACTCGACTTCTGCTTTGGAGTGAACAATACTGTGGGTTTATTGTGAACGGTTTGTGACCTCATTATCTTAAACACACCAGCTATGATGGTTTAGCAAAGAGTTTTCACCATATGGAGTTCTTTAAGTCTTAAAACACTGTGAAACTGCATTATCCATTCTGTTTTCGGAGGATCTGAAGGAGCAGAATGTGCCATAGCAAATCATTTGGACCTTTTGCGTTTGAATTTGCAGTTTGAATTGCAGTCAGGTCGTTATGTATGATAAAGCAGTGCAGATTGATGCTACATTCCACCGTAATGGTGCTGTTGCATGCTCTTAAAGGAATAGTTCACCCAAAAATGTACATTTACCTAAAATGTACTGAATTTGGAGAAGTCCATCACTTGCTCACCAATAGAACCTCTGCAGTGAATGGGTGCCGTCAGAATGAGAGTCCAAACAGCTGATAAAAACATCACAATAATCCACACCACTCCAGTCCATCAGTTAACATCTTGAGAAGACAAAAGCTGTGTGTTTGTAAGAAACAAATCCATCATTACAACATTTTAAACTGTCACCTCTGGCCAAAATCCATAATAACGCTTCCTCCGGTGAAAAAGTTCATCTCCTGTTGTCTCTCACATCAAAATCCAGCCACATATTTGTTTAGTGCCGTTTTGGCTTGTAAACGGTGCTTGATCTGTGCAGATTTCCCTCCTTTTTTTTTTACATTGCTGAGACACTGATGCAATGCTACATTTCTCCAAATCTGATGAAGGAACAAACTCATCTGCATCTTGGGTGGCCTGATGGGAGTACATTTTCAGCAAATCTTCATTTTTAGCGAACTATTGCTTTCAACCCCGAACGTACCTGCAGCTTCCCGTTCAAACATAGCTTGGTGTGATTTATTTTAGATTTATATGAATTATTGTGACAGTCATTTGCAATTTTTTGAAAGTATCCCATTTTTGTGGAGCCAAATTTTGCCATGGGTGATTTTCACAGAAACTTTCGAGAAACGTCCAGGTCATATTTCACTACAAAAATCAAAAGAAAAAAGCAATGCAATTTAAGTAATAAAATAAATTTGCAAAGTGCAATTGAAAGTATTTGTTGTACTGAATTTAATTTATTGTTTGCCGAAAGGACGATGTATTACTGAATTTCAGTAATGAGGATGAGATTTCTTTCACATGACAGTAATGAGAATTTGAGGGCAAATAGTTGCTTAATTGTTATGGGGAAAAAGGCAGAATAGTTTAATTGTCCCAGAATATGCTACAGTATAAAATTATATTCTATTTTTTTCTTTTGATTTTGGGTTGAAATATGATCAGAAATGTTTTTGGTCTCTTTATTCAGTTCTGACTGGTGCCTAAAACAATAGCAGTGTGTCCTTGTTGGGCTTTGGTTAAACTGTAAAATAAACTATTTTTTGTTGTGAAGGACAATCACTTTTTCACATTATCCCGTGCATCGGAATATCATGGAACATTAATTCCAAAACAGACTAAAACAGAACATATCCACAGTTTGAGTTCCTTCACCACAGCATTTATCCATCAATACTATGAATGAGGTAAAAGTCATTTAAGTGTTTTGGAGTACATGGTTGTAGAAGCACAATGTCTGTCTCAAGCCTTTTCATAATTCATGTCGAGTTTTGTTGGTTTAGATTTAGACGAACTGCTGCGATGTTTGAGGTTTGCTCATGTGAATGGACAATGATCAGTGTTCATCTGAACTGGAAAACTGAACTTCAAGACAGTAATGAACAAAGCTGAAAACTGGACTGTAAAAGCCCTTCCCAGAGCTGCTTTTTGGAATACATGTATATTAATAGCAGAAATTGTTTATATTGCTGATTTTAAGTGTTATTTACGTTTAACCACATTGCATTTGAAGCTAGTAAAACTGCTGTTTACCCCGGATGATTCTCATGTGTTTCGGTTGTGTAGAGCGAGATCTCAGCCGTCGCTGCCGCCATCATGAGTGCGTGGTCTGATGATGTACAGCTGTCAGAAGAGCTAAATTATATCCCATTGTAAACAACTATATTTTTCTTTCAGAAAATAAATATTTTAAATTGTTAAAATAATGCTTTGTGTCTCTATCTTTTGCATGGTTTAAGTTTTTTTTTACACAATATAGATATAATGGCATTGACAAATTTCCTTTACAGCAAAGCAATGTTATTTTAGGATTATATGTAGTGCAATTTAATTATATGTATGATAAGTATATTATAAATAATATATTGTAATTTGTAATTAGCTTTGATTTTTATATATTCAGTTTATCTTAATTGAACTTTTATTAATATTATTTGATTGGCATTTTTTATTCTTTTTTATATATATATGTTTTATTGCTTTATTTCAGCTTTTTTTTTCATTTATTTTAGTTTTAGTCATTTTAATACTTTAATACCTATAATACTTTTATATATTAAACTATTTTTGATTGTAATGTGATTTGAATTCTTGTATTAGTAAAAATGTGACTACATATGGGTAGTTGACAAATATACCGTAAATGTGTCCTATGGTGTGACAGCAAAAATTTAGGGAAAAAACTAACAATGAAGAAAAATCTCTGTTATGCTATTTGTATATTATTAACAAGAAATTATTTATTAATTAATAATGATTAATTATTATTTTCTAAATTTTGCTGTTTCACATGTACGGTATATATGTCAACAACCCATATACATATAGTGTAAATACTCAAAAATTATACTGATTCTGCAAATCAAGTCATTTTATTGGTTTATTTACAATTTAAGTAAATGTTTCATTTCATTTATATCTCCAATGTATCCCAGCAGCCACTAGAGGGCGGCATGTTTCATGTGATGGTTTTGTGGATGCATCAAAATGTATTGTCCGAATAATCTTGAAGAACATAAATGGATTTTAACCCTTTGATGCACAACATGGGTCTAAAGTGACCCGACTGAGTTTATTTTTTGATATATCTTTGCAAGAAATTAACTTCATCATTCAGAATTCCAGGAATGCCTTTAGGTTTTTTTTATATAAACTGCAGGGTCTTTTTCATCTGCTCTTTTGGTTCTAGTTTTTTCTTCATTTGTTGTTTGCTCTTCTAGAGAGATATGACTCATTTTATGTGTCAGCATAACCCTAGTACATAATCCTGACAATTTTTCTGGTAATGTTGGCAAGAGGCCTTATTCTAATCCACATATCCACCATATGTCTGCCAATGCAATATCAATTTCATCAAATATAGGTGGTGGGCCTTCTTTTATCCCTAAATAGTCATCTTTACATTGTGGTATTTTCAATGTTTTGATGCATTTCCCTTCAAATCTTCCTACGTCAATATTTCCCTTCTTCTCATAACATTCAAATTCTTGATCTGCCATTAAGTGTATTTTTCCTTGTGGCTTTTGTATTTTTTTTTTCGTACTATTGGCCATTTACGGGTACGTTCGCACTGTAATTCAGTTGCTTCTCTGTGGTTTGTTGTAGACTGGAGAAAATGGCACCAGTATGGGCATAATGCCATTTTTGGGGTACAATTTCTAAAGGTATTTATGTCTCTGCCTCTTTCTATTAAGCGTTTACCTCCCAGTTTTATTACATCTAAATCCATTAGTCCTGGGCATTTCTTAAACCAGGGGTTTTCAAACTGTGGGTCGCAGAGTGGGACAAGGTGGGTTGCTCAAAGTCACTTGGCTGTAGCTAAATTTGCATTTCTATGACACGCACACACATACTCACACACAGTTCAGTCAAGGGCTACACGATATACCAACATTAATTACGAATTGCGATATTGCTTAGTACGATTTTCGAATCGCAAAGGCCGCAATTTAAAAGATGCGTTGCGTGTTTTGAGGTGGGGGCACACACTAGTTGTAACAACAGCGAGAGTGTGACGGTTCATTATTAAGAGGAGACTCATCTGTAAATGAAGAAATTAAAACAAATATTATTAGTGAAAATTTACAGTTGTACTATAAAATAAAATGGTTATTTTTCTTAAATATTTAATTTCTGCCATATTAAACTTTTAATTTACAGTAATGTCAATTGTTTGTTTTTTTATCTCAAATATTTTGGTGGGTCTTGAAATATTATACATGTTTAGGTGGGTCGTGGAATGGAACAGTTTGAGAACCCTTGACTTAAACCATTCATCATTAAATATTCTACAACTTGAACTGTGTATGAGTATTGGTACAATATATATAAGACTGATCTTGCTTCAAAGCAAACTGCAGTTTTCCCATTTTTCTTTTTCTGCTGTGTAATTTACCCATTTATACCAATTATTTTCTTCTACCTTCTCCCATAAAACATTTGATTTGCTTATTTTCTTCGAACTCATATTATGATTATCATCTACAATGTGTCTATTTTGCCTAGATATGTTTTGTTTTGTTTCCTGTCCAATTCTTGTTCTTCTTGAATTAAGTCACAGCCACTGCTGGATTCAACCGAGGGTTGACAAGTTGATTCTAGGGAAGTCTGGGTGCTGTTGGCTACAGCTTGAGCTTGTAGAATTAGATGCATTAGGCATGTGATGATCATCAGACGTCTTTTTTAATTTGTCATCAGTTTGCACTTCATCTTGTGTTACTGGTCTTTCCTTGTCACTTTCTCCCTTATTGTCTGTTTCAAGTTTCCTTCTCTTTCTATGTCCTCTTTTCCATTTGTTGGCCCACATCTGCTCCCAAATATTTTGATCTCGTTAGCTGTCCCATCATTCCATCTTCACCAGGGTGACTCTTTGCGAGTCGTTGCAATGGTCTTTCCTTCGTTGGCAAGGGAGGGTCGTTACTAGCACGCCCTTCATCCCTCACTTCATGCTGTGTGGGGTTGTTGAAGCTGGATGGTGTAGAGGTAGGTGAGAGATGTGGACCCAGGTGTCACTCTGCAACCATTTTGCCGCTCAATGCCCATGACATTCTAATTTATTGAGATGCACCTGTATTTTAAGGTGAGAGATGTGGTGGTGTCTCACTCTGCAACCATTTTGCTGCTCAATGCAAGATTCTCCCTTTAGATCATAACTGCACACTCACTGGTTCTTATTGGTGGAGCAAACCATTCCCTGGCCTTGATAGCACTGCTGTCACCTGTAAATGGAAACCTTCAGAGTTTTCTATTGCTGTCAATACAATGAGTATAGTGCTAATATGCATTTTCTATAATATAATAAAGAATTTGCTTTTACTCAGTTATCAGCATCCTTACTATTTTTCGATTAATTTCAATTTTATTCTCAACAATTTACTAATTCGCTTATTTCTGTTTTTTTAAACTAAGTTCCACTATATCACTGGATAATTTCCTAGGCCTGTCTTGCTCAGTAGCACAGGCCTTTTGACCTGGAAAACACTCAACCCACTTTATTATGTTAACAGTCTGAAAGACAATATTTTATCCTTTTGACACAGTATCAGCTTCATCATGATATG